TGGAAGCAGCAGTGATTTAAGTACAGGAAAAGCATTCCAAATGAAAGCATCCTGCCTACTGATATCACATCTTATTTACCTCAGAGATAGAAGATAACACTTTCAACAACGCTGTAACTTTTGGAGAAGGAGGGTGGTCACAGAGGAATCTTTTCAAGCACAACTGAGTTTGTAATTCTTACTAATTCCCTCTCCATCTGCCAATGGCCCGGTGTGAAATTACGGCCAGTTTGAGAACCCCACTGCTTTAGCCCTGCTCCTGTCAAGGGACATCCATCCATCCCTCATTGTGCAACCTGTCCCATTTAAGACCTAGTAATGCCAAGGCCTCCTGCATTACTTGGATCCGGACCTACTAATTACAAGCGCAGCTCACACTGAGAAGGAAGCAGCCAAATAAAACGCTGTGTGAAACCAATCTCTGCTGCATTTCCAGCAGGCCTCACCAACTCCTAGTCTCAGGTGAGCGTTGCAGTGAAGACTCTCTACCGACATACCTTTATCTTTCTTCCTGCAGTTTGCAATAAACAGAAAACAGAGAAGGCTGTGAATCTTTCAGATTACATGCAACATTTTCCCGTACCAAAGCATGGGCAGTTTTAACAGTACTACTAAAACAGGAAGGCAGACCAGAATTGTTACTGACTACTGGTCTTCTAGCCAGTCGGGATGAGTAAGCAGAGATGAATCATTTGCATAATAAAATAAACTACTATTTAGCAAACAAAAATGCACAACAAAAGGACCCTCAAATCTCTCTTAACTTAAGGATTTAAACAGTTCTGCCCTGACAGCAAACGCAGCCCTTCACAGGCATCTGCAGGCCCTGGTGTAACGCTGTCGCTTTCCAAGGAGGAAGGAATCGGCACGGCCTCGCTCCCTGGCTGGCAGGCAGCAAGGTCAGCGGCAGAGAACGAAGGGCTGCTGAGGTGACGGCTGTGTAACATCACGGAAACTTCTATGAACCTCCACTAACAGCAAGGGCTGAAATAGCTGATGACTCTTGCTTGCATCAAGCGCTCCAAGATTTTAAGCAGCAACTATTTAACTATGTATACAAACCACAGTCAAACCCTGCTGTTCTTCCTGCTCCTTCGACTTTCCCCCCAACAACACCTAGTTTAAAAGAAACGTTCTTTTATGTACTAAATGTGATTCACTCACACAAGCAAACCAAACATTGTATAGGAAGGGGACAGTCAGCTTCATATACAACACAGATTTCTGAGCCTCTAGTATTAGTGTATCCAGCACATAAACCTAGGGAGACTTGGGAGTTTCCATACATGTAGGAGATCTTACTCACCACATGAGCATGCAACAGCAATCCTTGATGGGAAAACAAAGAATCTAAAACCTGTGGGAGTTATTTCAATTTGCTTTAATTTTATTTTGAGGTCCCAGCAATCAAATTAATTCTAGCTGCAATCACAGCAGCTACAAATTCAGCAATTTAATTTCTACATAATTTCTCAGAAGAGAAGGCTAAAACCTTCAGGCTCTTTTCTTCAAGACAAAAAGCCTTTCTTTGCCCAACCCACCCATTAACAGTATTTCTCAATCCTATGCAAGGAAAGAGACAAACACAATGAGAGAACGTAGAAGTTATTAACAAGAATTCAAAGTTTAACCTAATTTTGACTTGAAAGCAAACAAAATCACTGTGGCAGTGCTCTATCAGACAGCCTTGAATGTTTTCAATTCCAAGTTAAGTGATCCTTTACGTTAATAAGGCTAAGAAATACTGCCCTATAAAACCATGCATGAAATAGTATTTTATGTGCAATGTAACATGATGATACCAAAACTGCTGTCACTTGGCAAGCTGACATTCTCAGCCATGCTAGCAGTAGTGCACCACACGCTCATTGCAGCATGTGTGTAGTAGCTGTTATCATATACTTCAAAATGGAAATGCCATGTCTCTACCAAAATTAGGTTGTTCTAGACAGAAAACAGTGTTGTTGTAAGTAGGTCTGTGTCCTTAAACTCATAAAGCAGAAGAACAAAACTGTCTCAAGTTTCTAAAGTTCAAAATAAGTCAAGTGATTCTGACTTCTCTGGTACTGAACCAACTCCTAAGCAAGACTTTTGGTGCTACCAGTGGCCACTGATCTGGGAGGAAGAAAGAGACAAGAGTGACAATGTGTTTTCTTTCACTGACACCCCAGCCTCCTCTTCATAAGACAGGTAATTCAAGCTGTTCCAAAATAATAATTCTTCTTCTGAGATGTCACTGTGTATGACTGTCAGCTATGGGATGAATGTCATCATTTTATTTCTGATGTGAAAGTTCACGACAGAGAGTGGGGAAAGGACACGGCATATAGTTTTGGGCAGGGTCAATGGCTCTGACTGCATTCAATCATTGAATATGAAGATTGTGCTTGGGATATTTTTAAACAACTTTACAGAGAAGTGACTTAACAATATCTGAAAGTACAAATGCAGAAAACTAGGTGTGGAGCCGATGACACTGGAGATGCTTCTGTTCTTCTTCCTTTGTCTATTTACACGCCTTGAATGGTCTTCAAAACGCTTCTGTTCAGCATGCACCATCTGGTATGCAGACACCATTTCCAGATGTTAAATTACAGATAAACTAGCTTTTCACATTATTTTTTTCTTTTTTTAATCTAGACAGTAGCATTTCCATGTGAAAGAGTGTGTAAGGGATAATGTGCCCAGACAGAAAACACGACAGGATCTAATGAATGCACTACAACATACTAATGTAATACGCCACTTGCCCCACTTCTTCATTATCATTTCCCATTAATTAATTATAATCATAATAATATTCTAACACTACATTCTTCAAAGCTCCTGCAATGAGTAAGTAGGGTTTTTTTTTGTGTGTGGTAGTTATATATAGGAAATAACAGTCCAATAACAAAAGCACACATGGAGAAGAAAGGATGACTCTGGGACATATGAAGACAAACAGGTAATTCTGTATGTTAATTTCCCAGTCAAGTGAAAAAAAGGGAAATAGTACTTACCAGGCATAAAGCTTTTCACCTGCAAAAGGCCTTCCAACCTAATCACATTCTCAAAACTCCTCTAAAATGATCTGCAACTACTATCTCTGTTGTACCACAGAAGTCATAGGACAGCAGCTTACCCCAGAGCAGTCCAGATTTCCAGTTTTCTGCTCAGACCACATCCCCTTTCTTTTCCTGCACCATACCCTGTCACTCAACATCCCTGAATGCATCAACTTTGTCTCAACCGTAACACTGTCATCTTCCAGCCTTGGAAGCCCCAAGCTTCCATGTCCCTGGGTACTGTTTTAGGATGCTTGAAACATTCACATTTTTTCCTCTCATCATTCCGTGGATAGCAACACATTTGCTCTGTGTTTATAGGAACAAGCAACACTCGAGTAAAATGAACAGTCAGAGAAGTGAGGATAGTGCTGAAGCTCTCCTTCTGTCAGGATGAGTGTTAGCAACACACTTCATGCTCCACGCCAGCCCCACTGGGATCACCTGAGTCCTTGGGAAATGCCACCAGTTTGTGAAAGGCACAGAAGAGGCACAGAAGTTGTTTTTCCGTTCTGGAAGTGAAACCCACAACCTTTTTCTTTTTTTTTTTTTTAAGCATTTGTTCTTGAACAACTGTTTTGTGCTCCTTAAAGGCACTGCCACAAGGCTCTCACAGCTGGGAAACACAGACACCGAAAGCACACACCTGCAGTTGGACCCAGCACAGATTGACAACGATACACTTCATGACTTAAAAAGTGGCAGGAACTTTAAACAGATGTATAAATAAGATGTTGAACAACCAAACCTTTTATACGTAACTACAGCCTCATGGATAACTGCTTAAAAGAACAAAAGCAAGTGATCTAAATACAAACTGCAATTACCTGCCACAGCCTGCAAAACTGCTCCTTGCAGCACTGTGGTAGTGAACCATGAGCACATGGAAACCTTCCTGCCCTTTGCATACGACACCCCAGCTCCTGTGACCCTCAAACTGTCCCTGCCACATTACTCATCTCTCCTTTCTTCTCAGCAGACACAGTAACTAGATGATCATAACTGACACACTGCCTTAACTATTATTAGGTGATCCTGACATTCTACCTCACATTTTCTCAGTTTATATTCACAGCAATTCTAAAATGAAGTTTCAAGGGTGATTGGAGCTTTTTATCCACAACCTTGAAAGTGGTAATGAGAAAGAACACAGGATTCTGCGTGTCATCCTCAGTTACAGCCTGTAAGATACTATAACCTAGGAAAGAGGAAGTGGGCTTTTTATCTCTTCCTTCCTTAAAACACATAACATCATGCAAGTCTGATTATGCAGAAAATGGTAACATTACCTCCACCTTCATAAAAAGTCTCAGAGAACTTGCCTGTCCAGTATTTGAAAGATGGAGAAGTCACGCAAAAAATTTTATGAAACTAAAAGGTCTTATGCAACCTCCCAAAGCCTATCTGCCATAAAGAATGGGCAAAGCTTTCTAAATTAACTTGTTCAGCTGACACAAGACACTCTCCCTGCCTTGCCTCTTCTCAAAATGAGTCACTGATGTGGCCAACCGAGGAGTGGGAAAGAAGAAAACCTATTCAAAAATGACCCTCTCAGGACACAGGAGAGCGTGCTGGCTAAAGGTGTAGCCTACCATATGCACCAACAGTAAAACAAATCACCTCGTTATTCACAGCCAAGCTTGCACCGGGGCAATATCAGAATATAGAGGCATCTAAGGAAGCAATTAGACCTATTAAGCTTTGGTTTCCTTGACGCCCATAATCACTTGGAACTGTACTAGAGCAACATGGCTTGTGACCAAATACAGCTTGCAGATAACAAATTTAAGGGAAACACCTAAAATAAAAGTGCAATGAACAGTGAACAATGTATTTGCTAGTAGAAGAAGCACCTGCTAACTGGAGTAGCCCAACCAGTAACTGGTTTTTGCTCAACAAGAGGCAATATTCCAAACTTAGTCAATGACAAAAAAAAATTAAGCAGATACTCACCAGCAAGTGTATAATCCATATCAAACCCAAAGCACTTTATCTTTTCCATGGCTAAGCTTCTGTTTACAAAGACCCTGTAAAGAGAGAAGAAATAAAGCCATAGGTATAAGCATTTTCAAAATAATCACGTTTGAGAGCAAACACGTTCTGCCAGCTGTCAGGATGTCTGGCTCTCTTAGGTCAAAAACAGAAAATATACCTGAAAACAGAGGCATGTTTCATTCTTTGCCATGAGTTCTCCCGAAGCAAAGCCATGACTTTGCAGGGTTATTCCATTTATTGGTATGCTGTCTAAAGACATACACGCATGCATGCACACACACACATGGCTTTCCATGTGACCTGCAAAAATTCCTAAGAATAGAAGTACAAAATCTCCTGAAGCAGAATTCAGAGCTCAAGTGAGAGGAAACTGGAAACAGAGGATGGGAAGCAATAAAATTTGCTTGATTAAAAAAAAATTATTATGAAGAGAGGGAAGGGAAAAGGGAAGGGAAAAGGGAAGGGAAAAGGGAAGGGAAAAGGGAAGGGAAGGGAAATTTCTGGAAGGGAAAAGGGAAGGGAAAAGGGAAGGGAAAAGGGAAGGGAAAAGGGAAGGGAAAAGGGAAGGGAAAAGGGAAGGGAAAAGGGAAGGGAAAAGGGAAGGGAAAAGGGAAGGGAAAAGGGAAGGGAAAAGGGAAGGGAAAAGGGAAGGGAAAAGGGAAGGGAAAAGGGAAGGGAAAAGGGAAGGGAAAAGGGAAGGGAAAAGGGAAGGGAAAAGGGAAGGGAAAAGGGAAGGGAAAAGGGAAGGGAAAAGGGAAGGGAAGGGAAATTTCTGTGAATAAACTCACAACATTTGAACTCTCTTTGGAACTTCAAAAGCAAACCTAAACAGATCCACTTCCACATTCACACTAATAGCATTAAAAACATTTAATAAAGCTCTGAAAAACAGCGACTGAGACAAATTTTCATCCACAAGAATATGCTACTTCTACTGTGAAATTTTTTCTTTTTATTTTAACTTCATTTTATTTAATATAAAAACTTCTTATATTTAACTCTTTTTTATTTTAATTCAACAAAACGGTTATTTTTAAAATTCCATTTTTACTGTTAATGCTTATTGCAATGAGAATCTAAGCTGCATACTTCCAAGCCCTTTTGGATGACAACATTTTAATACAGCATATTCAATTTAGTTCAAGAAAACAACATGGTAAAGAAATAGGTCAGAGAATACAACAAAAGCTTTTCTTGCTTCCTGTTCTAACTACTACAGTAACTAAGCTGCTTATGTTTCCCCAGAACTTTAAACCATACAGCAGATCTGTAATTGAACAGGACTTCTCTCCACCGTCTGTCTTATCTGAACGTTAAGAATAAGAATCAGAACTCAGCTGTGGGATGGAAGCTGAGCTTCTGAACACTGATCTTGGACAGAAATCCCATGTACTGCTCGAGCTGTGATGCCGACACAAAATTCTCCTGTATGAGAAAAGTCCCAGAGCCTTCACCTGTCCTCTGACTTCAGTATGTGAAAATTCTCCAAATATTTAGTAAGTGCATTGCCGTCAGCAGAGTAATTATCCTCTTAAAAACCGAAATCGGCAGCACTGCCGTGTAGGAGGAGCAGTGCAGGGATAGCGATACAGCAATGGAGACAGCAAGTGCAAAACCAAGCACTCGTACGTTCTGAAAGCTGAAAGAAACCACTGGGAGATTCTCCTCCACATGCACGTTCTGTGCAGGTGGTTGGCGCAACGTGCCCGTTTCACTGCCCGTGTCAATCTGCCACAGCTCGAATTTTAACAACAAACTGCTAAGATCAAACTATCACACTTCTCTGCAAGTTGTCTTACCTCATCTCTCACCGATGTGCTCCTTGTTTAGTTCGCAGCAGTCTGATTCATCTACTTGTCTGAATCATATTACACAATTCCTTTAAAGCTTTCCTAGTACCGATGCAGTTTTGCTTGGATCTGATTTGACTTCAGAAGATCATTATGTCTGAACCAAGCCTTAAAGTACTGTATATCTTCTTGGACAGTGTTCTAGAAAACACATCTGTGGATAATTTAACCAGTCACTGGATATCGTTGTTGTTCCACACAAATCCACTTGGAATACAGTTTCTCTGGCAATAGTATACTTTCCCCCTAACCTTGCACACTCTCTCTGGGAGTCACAGTTTCCTGGCAAAGTGCCTGCCTTTGACAATGGGGCTTGTCACTAAGGGGCCTCAGAGGTTATAAATGACGCTTTTTTCTGATAGATTTATGTATTACCTAAACAAGACAAAGTGATGGGAAAAAACCTGGAAACTGGTAAAGAAATGCCTTTTCGAAATATGAGATGGGATCGTAAATCACTAAAATTCACTCCTGAAATAGCTGGCTTTTGAGTAGATGGAGCAAATTATCTGAATCTGCAGTTTGAATCTGTGTTTGTCTTTTAACATTGAGATAGCTCTGATTCAGAAGAGGCCAACGCGAAATGCTATTTGGTACTAAACACAGTCTCATACTTTGTGTAACGAAGATGATTATGTTCTGTTGCTGCTGATGCCAGGAAGCATTATTTATTAGCTTACTCAAGCACACGATTTCTGATCTCATGTTTACGCAGTTCATTTCTGAAAGTAGAGAGCTTTAAGAAGGAATAACATACCACCAGGAGACACTAGCAACATTTTTTTGTCCAACCTGCAGAGTCCAATTTTGTTCTTGCCCTTAGGCTTAGCCCCTAGAGCACAGTTTTTCGTCCTTCTGAACAGGACAGGAACAGGAAGGAAAATTTAAAGACGCTCAGAAGAGCATTTCAGAATTGCAACACTTGGGAACAGCTTCCCAACTGAGGACAGAAAACAAGCACTAAGACAGAGCTGAATGCGCTTATAAAAAGGGTAATACGGCAGTGCCTGTGAAAGGCGAAAACAAGGGAGCTGTGACCCAAGAGATCTCTTCCAGTCCAGCCTGCCTATGTTTAGATGATGACGACACCAAACTGACCAAAAACCGTGGAAAGATCTCTAAGCCTCTGACATTTTTTCATCGCTTGCTTTCAGAGTATTTACAGACTGAACCCCGAGACTAAAAAAAAACCCACGAAACCAGCACACATTGATGCTGAAGATACAGAAAAGTTTACTAAAGGCAATGAAATGAACAACATCTATTAGCATATTTTTGTTCCAAAATAAGTCTTAATGCTAAAGCATGAAAATTACTATACCAGCCCCTCTTGGTAACAGCTGCTGAAGATCTCTCTTTATTCCATCAAGTTGTAAATACTGCCTATGACCCAGAACCATACGTGGCAGGGTCTAATCATGCCCCAACAGTGCACAGGATCCAGCAGATTTCAAGGCATCCTGCTGACTGATCTGATGTGGTAATTACTGCACCCACCAGTGCTGGAGTAAAAGACAGCAAATATTTAAAAAAGCTAAAGAAGGCTATTGCACAACATGTTCCGGACAGGAAATGAGAACACTTTAATCAATTTAAACCTGGATATGCCTTGGCAGATTAAATGGCAGACTAAAGAGTGGCAAAAAACCCTGGAACCAATTTCACTTCTCTTGTGAAGGCCTAGCCAGATATTGGGTTATTTTGTGGGCACTCAGGACCTCAACTTTACACCCATGCATGGTGCCCCCCTACACACAAGGGGCTAAGCAGATACAAATATTTACTCCCAGAAGCTGATGAGCTTAATTCAGAGGGTTTACTCAAAGTAGTAAGTATCTGCAGTATCCTAGGAACTAAAGATAAAAGTTGAGATTAAATCACCAAACAGTTTCTGGGAAGAGCCAGGTGCTCCTCAGAAGCTGCAGACTTAGCCTGTTTCAAAGCTGTGCTTAGATACTAATCAAAGGTATGCTCAGCCTGACTTCAAGAATACCAGTCAAATGTGTCTGTTGGCTACAAAACTGTAACATCTCCACAGAAGACATGGTATAGAGAAATGACAGGAGTTGTTTTTAATGACCATAAAGCACAACCAACACTAAGGCCCTAAGAACCCTAACCACCTGAGAGAAAAGATCCTCTGATCTCTAAAGGAAAGGATGAGATTACAAGTTTTTTATAGCTCATCTAGATAAACAAAAATCAAAGAAACTTCCAGATTACAAACAGTCCAGATGAAAGTCAGAGTAAGAGGAAAACTAAAATCACCCAACATTTCTACACAAGGAAGTTTTAATCTAGATAATCTTTCCACTTGCCAGAATCAGAAGAAATCACACTTTCCCTTCCCCTGATTTTGTTTTGTTCCATTCAGAAAATAATCATTATAACTAGGAGCACTGGAGTTAAAAATTAAGCTGATCTAAAAATTTAACAGCACTGGGCAGTAAGACAAATCAAACTGCAGACATAGCATGAGAACACCCTCTCCCTTCCTTGTGCTGAGAGGCAGAGGTGGGTATTGCCTAAACCCAACTCCCCAGCTCCACACCTCTCTGCATCCAGAGCATGTCCTTAAACAGGACATTGCCTTTCACTTGCCTTCATGTTTCCTCACTTATGAAAAAAATGAGCTTTATATTTCTGCTTTGAAGAATATCCCTGTGAATCTCCCACAGTTTTCCACTTCCAGTGCAGTGTGGCTGGAGTGGTCCAAGGTGTTGGTGCTTGTGGGGAAGCCAGCTGAGGAACCACATGCAGCCCCACTGCCTCCCTGGACCAGCACACGGCACAGCTGGGAGTGGAGAGGCAGCAACCTGGGCTTGGGGTGGCTTAGCCTGGTGCACATTCACATTTTTAGAAAAAAGGACTTGAGGAGCTGTTTAAGGGAAACCATGAAGCACGTTTCCTCCCTAATGAGTTCTTCCTCAAAGATTAAACCCTGCAGCTTGGCCACAGCAGAAAGCTCTCAATGATGACAGTATTTATTTTCTTTTTGAGCTCTAAGAATTGTGCTGGATAAGAGAAAAATGTGTTGTATTGCAAGGAAGAAGGAACTGCTGAGCATGCATAAAGGGAGTCACAGAGCCCTGGTATCCTCAACACTGCAATTCACAGTCCTTTATATTTTTACAAGAGAACCGATCTCGGTTTTGTTACTGTTCTTGTCAGTCACTTCTGAG